CACTCAGCTTAGAAGGAAGTGTTTCATTCTTTAAAAAAATAATACTGTCACTGAGCTGGATTCTACAAAGTTACAGATGAGTATAAATTCTAACCCAATTATATGCATAAGACGAAAGCCAGTTATTTTTTTTTTTATCTTTAGAGAAACTCCAGTGATTGTTAACTAGCAGTAGCAAACTAATTCCTCAAGTATAAAGGGAGAAGGAAAAAGAAGACAGAACAAGAAGAAGACTAGTAGAGATATAAAACTACACAGTCTAATACATGGGCACCAGCCATATGTGACTAATGAAATTTACACGTGAGGTCAATAAAAAGAAATAAAACGGAAATTCAGTTCTTCAGTTGCACTAGACATGATGCAAGTCTCAACAATCACAGGTGACTGGTGGCTATCACATTGGACAGCACAGGAAGAAAATATCTCCAACATCACAGACAGTTCCTTTAGATAGTGCTTATCCAGAAGCAAAACCACCAGTTTCAAAGGCAAGATGATTGCCAAATGAGAGAAATGGAGAAAGCTGTGCATTCAAATGGAGAGCACCCTCTAGAGGCGGCCTCGGCATCCAGGAGCATTCAAAAGCATAACCCATAGCTGCGTGCCTTTCAGGTGTGTGGCCAACACCTGCTCCAAAGAGTTTAAATGAGGAGTCCTAGAAATTAGGAAAATAGGCAACTGGAGAGAAAGTGTGACCTAAGTGACGGACAGTAGTTGCAGCTCAGTGGCCCTATCTTCTCTACAACTCAGTTTCATCTATAAAAATAGGGGCTTCAACAACTGTATTTTCCACAAATAGCACAAATAACATGTAACATGTAACAGTTGGAAATGATGAAAATATATAAAAATATTCTGGCATAGTGCGTCCATGCATACACAATGCATGTCTTGTGACATTTCTAGAATTAAATTTCAGCCTCATTCGCCCTCATTCAGAAGTCTAAAAATGCCACTTTTGATTATATTTACATAATAAAGATACATGTGATGGTCAAGAAGTCATAGGTTCCTTTCAGCTGGAGCTGCCATCTTGCAGTAATCCTCCAAGATGACGAACACAAAGGGAAAGAGGCGGGGTACCCACTATATGTTCTCCAAGCCTCTCAGAAAACACGGGGTCATTGCTTTGGCCACATACATGCAAATCTACAAGAAAGGCGATTTGTGGACATCAAGGGAATGAGCACAGTTCAAAAAGGCATGCCCCACAAATGCTACTACGGCAAAACTGCAAGAGTCTACAATGTGACCCAATATGCTGTCGGCACTGTTGTGAACAAGCAAGTCAAGGGCAAGATTCTTGCCAAGAGAATTAATGTGCACACTGAGCATATTAAGCACTCTAAGAGCTGAGACAGCTTCCTGAAGTGAGTGAAGGAAAATGATCAGAAAAAGAAGGAAGACAAAGAGAAAGGGACCTGGGTTCAGCTAAAGCGCCAGCTTGCTACCCCCAGAGAGGCGCACTTTGTGAGAACCAATGGAAAGGAGCCTGAGCTGCTAGAACCTATTCCCTATGAACTCATGGCATAACAGGAGTGAAAGAAAAATGTCTGAAGTGTACAAATGCAAAAGAGAAAAAGTCATAGGTTGATTTTGGCAGTGTCCAGTAGTCAAAAAACAAACAACTGAAACTGTTCGTTTGCTCTGGGCCTGAGAACAGTGGAATTCCTTGTTGCCAGTCTCCACCAGAGATGGGTGGAAGGTCAAGCAGTGGGCTGTGTGCAGGGCTACCATAGAACAGCCTGAGCTGGCCCTGTGGTGGGCAGGGGCCACTGCCTGTGCATGTCTGGGCCCCACAGTGCCAGTCCCATGTGAAGCTGGACAGTGAGGGACATGCAATCCCTCTATGCTTGCCGCTCTCATGTCCAGCGTGTGACATCAGTGCAAGGGAGGAGATTCAAAGGGCCCAATGTGATGGCCAGCCAGCAGGGCAGTGGAGAGTCATGGTACGCTGGTCTCTCTTGCCTGAATGGCCTCTCCAGCCAGGGTGCACAGACCTGTGCATCTACTGGGCTCTGGCTGGTTGTTTTCAGGGTGGAAAAGTGATTTCTTCTTGTACTGGAGAATGTGGTTTGCAGAGAAGGGAAGGAATCCTGCTGCCAGGTGAGGGCATGCTTTAGAAACTCTAGGGTTGGCTTGTGAGGGTGTGCTGCTGAGAACCAAACCTCCCCCTCAACAGACACCAATATGACGACTTAACATTAACATTGGATAGGAAAAACCCAGAAATGATAGTCATCAACATATGAAAAACATTGGTATATTATTGGCATGTGCAGCACACACTATTTGTGTAAAATACAGGAGATGTTTTCTAATATCGTTCCAGGCCCCCAAGTCAATACTTCAGATTTTTAATTTACTGATCTTATTTGTTCATAAAAGAAAGTGAGGAAAGATGCCTAGCAAAATAACTATTGCAGGATTAGCAAGGTTAAAACTAAAATCCAACTGGGTTCACTTTAGGTGTACTGAACACTGGCTGCACACTCAAATCCCCTGGGGCACTTAAAAACTCCATCAAAGCCTGTGATCTCGCCCACACCACCTGAAGATGAGTCTCTGGAGCAGTGCCCAAGCACTGAGTGTTTCTGAGGGCTCCCCAAAGTGATTCTGATGCACAGTGAGGGAGAACAGCAACTAGAATATAAGTGATTACAGACTTCAGACAAGAAAAAATAATAGAAAACACCTTCTCTTGTTTCATCTGGCAACGAAAACTACATCCAACACAGATGGCAACTGACGAGAGGAGGGTTATATGAGGGGGCTTCAAAAAGTTCATGGAAAGATTATGGAGTTTTCCCACAAAGTTTTTGAAGCCCGCTCATGTAAGTTACAAATACAAATGCTTTGAATTTGATTTTTATGATCTAGGAGGACATCTGTCTGAAAAAGAGCCAAGGAGATAATGGTGAATTGTTAAAGTAGATTTTTTAAATGAATTCCTATATATTAAAGAGTGAATCCCTTGTTAAAAAGTTTAAATACTAAGTTGTCCATGTAAAGCTCACAATAGGAAAAGAAATATGCATCAAGGGAAGAGTTCTCACAGATTGAAAGTTAGCCTTCATAAAGAGGCAAGCTGTCAGGGAGCAGGCAGCTAGCTGTGAGAAGGGCCTCCAAAGGCCCAAGAACCACAATGCTTTGAAATAACCTTTCCCACCAGTGGCCTGCCAAGGTGATCCACTCTCTATCACCCACCACAGAATTAAAAAACAAAAAGCTTTAAATGATTCATAGGTAGGTACTAAAGTGGGAAGGTGATGGGGGCAATCATTTCCCAAAAGCCATTAATCATGATGACAGCTAACATTTACTGGCAGGCTCTATTTTAAGCATTTTACAGATAGTATCTCACTGAATTCTCACAACAATCCTATGAGGTATATATACTATTATTATCATCATTTTATGGTTAAGGAAACCAAGACACAAGGTTAGGAAACTTGCTCAAAGTCATGCAGCCTGGAACCAAAGAGCTAAGATCTAAACCCAGAAAGTTTCTTCCAGGTCCTATGCTATACTGTATCTCTTGCCATTTTTTGTGCCTGAGTGTCGGTGGCTGGCTGAATGTAAGAAGGAGATATAGAAGAGGAAGGGGACAGAGGACAGCAGCGGGTCTTAGGAAGACAAGATTGCAGGACGGGAATCTGTGATATATACCGAAGGAAAAGGGAGATTATAAATTTTCTCTAATTCTCTTAGTTTGTACTGGAATGTATATACCACATCTCTGAGAAACAGATATTAAGTGAATCAAAAAAGTGACAGATATTAAACTAACTTAGGCAAGAATAACATGAACTAGGTGCAGGGAGAATCTATTGAACTCTGTATCAACCCAGCAATATTCAGAGGGAAATAAAGAGCTTTACCTGAGGGGCAGAGGTTTTTCAGTTGATTAGCAAAGTATGACATTCTTTCTAGCAGAAGACAGAATATTTGAATGGATAGTATGTGTGTCACAGTCACCATAGAAATGTGTCTCAAACTGTAGGCAAACAAACTGATGTTTTGGTTGATAAACTCAATGTGTGTCTGCTTAGGTGAAGGGCTAAAACAGCTTATAGGCCTGTAGGCATGACAGAGTAACTATAGTATCTCTACAGGCCCAACGAATTCCTTCAAAGGCTCGCCAATCGGACTCGCCAGTACTCTCCACACCTAATTCTAGACACACGGAAAAATGGAGTTAACAGGTAATGGCATTTTCTCACAAACTTTTTGAGGCCCCTCCCCTTTGTAGTTCAACATTTTTTCTCATTTGAACATCTTCTCCTAATGGTACTGACAGAAGTTTCAATAAACCACAGTTTGACGTTACTGTTGCTAAACCAAGTATGCAACAGGTAGGAGAAGGCTAAAATAAAAGGGTCATGATGATACACACATTAGACAATAAGTCTGGCAGTAAATTAAGGGTTGGCTACAATCTGGGATAAAAATAAAGTTGTACTGGAAAAAAAAGGCACATGTCAGGATGACCTTATCACTTCTTGTTTTTACTATGTGTTGTTAAACAACAAACATAAGAAGTCAGCAGGTATATCATTACAGGGACCAAATATAGCCTTTTTAATACGTCAAGATAAAAGCAAGATATCCCTGATGTATAAATGGATATCTTGAATTCATTAAGTGTTTGCTCAAGCAGACTAAACCTGATTGGGATCTATAGCTTCCCCTGAGTCTGCTCGGGTCTCAGATCTGCTGGGCAAGATTAATATAATAAGGGACTCACTGTAAGATGATGACATATGAAAGATTTAAAGTATTTTCCAGTTTTTGAGGAATTTTTTGAACTCATACAGGTAAAAAATGGGCCATTTTCTTGGCAAGACAAGCTGCTTAGCAATAGGGGAAATTTCAATAAAGCATAAGTGGACTATAAAAGCAAGTAGGTGAGAGCCTTTCTTAGATGGGTAAAATATACTTCCATGGACACTGGGATACAGATAAGAAAAAAGAATCCATAGCTTTTGAAAGGATACGGTCTGTACCAGGAAACAGCGTTCTTCCAGTCAACAGCTCGGCCATTATGCAGCCCACTGACCAAATATCAACTGGCAAAATCAAAGAGAAATAAAAGTACAAACAACATCACTATTATACCTGACTATAAATGGAACCAAAGGTAAAATAATAATAATAATACATCCTCCCCCAAAATACATCAGCTTATTAAGACCTTCATTCCACTAAAGGGTTTCAAAGGTAGGGAAACTCAAAACATAGTTAAGGGGCAACAGTTTCTTATTGGTAAAATGGTGGATATTCCTAAGAAATATTGTGGGGCTAAGATTATAAATCCATGATCTTTAGGTAGAATCACTCAGAGAATGTACTGAAGATTTGAATAAACCAAAACTCAACTGCTAAATCAGAAAGTCTGAAAACTATGTGCAAGGGGGCTTTAAAAAGTTTGTGGAAAAATTCCATTATCTTATTTCTTTTAATTCAATCTCTACAAACATTTTGAAGCCCCCTCATATAAAAACCCCACCTCCTCTATTTGAACAACTGAAATATTTCCTATTGGTAGGCTTTAACAGGATCACTGATGGAAGAAAAGATGTTCCTTCCACCATCACCATCTCCACTCCTGAGAATATGAAATACACCCAACACGTATTAATAAGTCACTGACTAACCCAGGCAAGTAATACCTGTCTGGTTGTAATGCATCCAGTTAAGCATGATCTCAGGAGCCCTGTACCACCTGGTGGCCACATAGCCTGTCATTTCATCATCTGTATGCCGAGCCAGTCCAAAATCCAGGATCTAAGAGAGAGAGAAGAGATCAGACACTGGAATAAACAAACAGCTAAGACTTGTAAAGGAGGCAGGAAAATAACTCTGGTGCTTTATAATAAAGGAGAATGGTAAAACACTTCCACACACAGATTCCTAGGTCTTTTCTTGAAATGCATGGTAAACACACAGCATGAAGTTTAAAAAACAAAATACAGAAAGCAAAATAAAAATACTACTCCTAGGCATTTTACCAAGATAAATGAAAATATATGTACAAAGGCTTGTGTACATGATTACTCACAAGTGTTTTATTTACAAAAGCCCCAAACTGAAAACAACTCAAGTGTCCATCAACAGGTCAATGAATAAACAGATTGTGGAAGTTCATAAAATGAAACAATTCTCAGTAATAAAAAGGAATAAACTATTGATATTCACAACAATACAAATGAATCTCAAAAACATGATGCTAAGCAAAAGTCAAACACGAACACTACAATTATATTGATTTTATTCACACGAAACTGAAAAAAGATACAAGTTCACCTACAGTGTCAGAAAGACGCTCAATGGCTTCAAGACTGGAGGTAAGGAGCCTGCTGCTGGACACAGGGATGTATAAATCTGTCAAAATTTACTCTTAAGATTTTTATTCTATGTAAATCTTATTTCAAAGATGAGCAAAAAAAAAATTTCCAGACCTACTTGCTCTTTATATATAGTTAATTATCTTATCTCATATTATATTTTGAGTTAAGTAGATTTCTGGCATTTTTCTTAAGTACCTGTTTAATCTAACAAGGAACTCTTCAGGATTAGGATTGTTTGCTTGATATCGAGAATATAATTTTGCTTTATTGTAATGACTATATTATAATTCTAATTTAACTTTAAGATGAAAACAAGTCACCTCCTATCACTCTCAGTGTTGTTTGAACAGCTTACTAAATTCTCTGTTGCTTAAAATTTCAAAATTCGATATTCCTAAGGACCATGTACGTGATTTGTCCACTAAATTTTGCTGATTTTATTGTTGCTGCTGAGAAAATACACAGCAAACATACACGAATCCAACAGCTTCTCCCTGTACAATTCAGACACACCGATGACATTCTTCCACTTGTGCAGCCATTCTCACCCTCTTTTTCTGAGTTGTTGACATAAACTCTTCATTAACTTAAACTCTCTGCCCCCTAAGGGTTCTATTTAATCTTTCAAACTGTCATTTCATAATGACATAAAGAACATAATGCTCAATGACAACCTTTTTTACTATTTAAGCTAAACAATTTGTTCAGTTTCAAGTCAACTTCTGAGATACTTTTGGTTTAAGGTTTAAAGATGATCTCAGGGCAATAGTTTCAGGGATTCACCCAACCTCTATGCCTCTAAAATGTCTAGAATCTATGAGAATTTGAAGCTCTATGCTGTATCCCCACTCTTTTATTTAGGATTTTTCTATGGAATCTTTGCTCCAAATGTTCAGTAATGGTAACTGGGCACCATTCAATTTTCCCGGTTTCATGGTAAAGGAGGCAGTTGTTCACCATAGGCAATTAGCCATGTATTCCATATCTTCTTTTTATTGATTTTCCTTCTTCCTCTGTTGTTCTAAGTGACTAGAGACCAACTGTGCCTTGGAAGGTGGCTTGAACCAGAAGGTAGAGGTAGAACTTAACATGCTCTTAGGTCAATTAACTAAGATATCCCATGAAACCATAACCCTAAACCTCCAAACCAAGGAAAGAAATCAAATGAGGTTTTTGATTATACATAAACAGCCTCAGGAGTTATTTTATTTTTTTTAAATTGATCGGGATTGCATTGAGTCTATAAATTGCTCTGGGTAGTATTGCCACGTTAACAATATTAAGTCTTCCAATCAATAAACATGGAACATCTTTCTATTTATTTAAGTTTTCTTTAATCTTTCCCAGCAGTGTTTTATAAGTTTTCATTGTATAAGTATTTCATATCCCTGGTTAGATTTATTTCTGGGTATTTTATTCTCCTAGCTGCAATTGTAAATGGAATTGCTTCCCTAATTTCCCTTTCAGATTTTTCATTGCTAGTATATAGAGCCAAATGATTTTTGTTTGTTGACCTTGTACTCTACCTTTACTAAAGTTCTTGATTAACTTTAGAGGTTTTCTTATGGACTCTTTGGGAGTTTCTGTATATAGGATCATATCACCCATGAATAGAGATAATTTTACTTTTGTTCCTAATCTGGATAATTTTTATTATTTTTCTTGTTTTATTGCTCTGGATAGGACTTTTGATACAATACTGAATAAAACTGGTGAGATTTGGCAACCTTTTTTGGTTACCAATTTCAAGGGGAACACTACCAGTTTTTCTTTATTACGTACAATGTTGGCTCTTGGCTTTTCACATATGCCCTGAATCATATTGAGAAACTTCCCCTCTATTCCAATCTTCTTTAGGGTATTCATCAAGAAAGGATGTTGGATTTTATCAAAAGGTTTTTCTGTATCCATAGAAGAAATGATCAAGTGGTTGTTTTCCTTTGTTCTAAGGTTTTGGTAAATTATGTTTCTAATGTTGAACCATCCCAGCATTCCTGGGATAAATCTTATTTGTTTATAGTGTATGACTCCTTTAATATGCTGTTGGATTCTGTTCACTAGTATTTTGTCACATATTCATAAGAGATACTGAACCACAGTTTTCTTTTTTTGTGGTGTCTTTGTATGGCTTGGGCATCAGGGTTATGTCTGCTTCGTAGAATAAATCAATGAGTATTACTTCCTCTTCTATCTTTTGTTGTTGTTGTTAAGTGCCATTGAGTCAGTGCCGTTGAGTCGGTTCCGACCCACAGCGACCCTGTACAGGGTTTCTGAGGCTGTAAATCTTTACGGGAGTAGAAAGCCTCATCTTTCTCCCACAGAGCGGCTGGTAGTCTGGAACTGCTGACCTCAAGGTTTGCGGCCCGATTCGTAACAAGTTTAAATAGTATTGGTGTCAAATCTTCTCTAAACGGTTAGTAGAACTGTCCAGTGAAGCCATATAGTCCAGCACTTTTTTTAGGAAGTTAAGCTTTTGATCACTGGTTCAATTTCTTTACTTGTTATGGGTTTGGTGAGACTTTAATTTGCTCTTGAGTCAGTCTGCCTAAGTTGTGTGCTTCTAAGAATTTGCCCATTTCATTTAGGGTTTCCTATTTATTGCATCATAATATTCTGCCACAATTATCTTTATTTCTATCAGATCAGTTGTAATGTCCCCTCTTTCATATTTTTATTTTGGTTATTTCCACCTTTTTTTTTTGTCAGTTTAGCTAAAAGTTTGCTAATATTATTGAATTTAAAAAATAATTAGCTTCTGATTTTATTGATTCTACCACTTTTTCTTTTTTCAAATTTTATTTATTTCTGCTCTGATCTTTGTTATTTCCTTTCTTCTGGTAGGTTTATGCTTCCTTTGAAACAATGTAATTTTCATATAAAAAGTGGTGACTTTATAAAACCATTCCCTGTACAAGTTTGTCCAGGTGGCAAAACATATAACTTCTATTCATTTGCGTTCTCAAAGCTGTGTTCTGATTGGCACTCTGGAAGCTGGATAAGCAAACACTTGCCACTGTCTCTTATCTTACCTTCAGTTCACAATCTTCATTCACAGCTAAATTGCTAGGCTTTAGGTCCTAAGAGGCAAGTACAGAAAGGACAAGGTCAGCTTTACGATACATGGTAAATTTTCTTCAAACTGGTAAACTGTAAGGACCCCTGAAGGGTTTACCTTCCACTTTTGAGATGCCTTATTATATAAAATTAAGGCTTTCTCTAGCTGTTATCAGGTAATCTCTCCAATAGTTAGTATCTAGTCCTAATTAGCCATAAGCAAACACAAACAATACATCTTCATTGTCTAATCAATTTGAACCCAGAATAAAGTTGCAATCAACCAAAATTTCTTTTTGTAAAGTAAGTTTAGATCAAGATCTTTGCTAAATGCCATTTTTTCTATCCAATGTCCCCAAAATAATTTGATAAAAAAGTTATAATACATACCCTGTGAATTATATCAGCAGAATGTATATACTGTGGAAAAGAAAAAGGTCAGTCAAAAAGTTAGCTTTAACCTCATACTGTCATAAATTTGCAGCACATTTTCAGGAGTTAATAAAAACTGCTCATGTTGACAAGATTAGAAAGAACAAGTAATTATTTTTATTCTGTACATTTATAATTTATCATAACTAATTTCCACTACATGAGCTCTAGAATCTATTTTCTGGTTGGCACTCTGGAGCTCAATAAGGACTCAAAACTGCTAAATCTCACAGATGGTTTATTTTTAAAATACTGTATCTGTCCACCCTACAAAGAAATTAGCTTTCTTGAGGATTTTTTAAAATGTCGATGCCATACTGACCAGATATTAAATTATATAAAAAAATGATTGCTATTCTTTAGATGTTATAATGAAGTTTCATTTTGAAATATACATAATAAAGGAACTATGGATGGAATGATATAATGTCTTTATTTGGTTCAGAAAAATTTGGGTTTAGGGAAGTTAAAAGAAGCAAGGATTGGTCATATGTTAATTGTGGATGCTGATTTAACATGAGACTCATTATGCTGTGATCTCTACTTGTAATTTTGTGAGTGCTTGAAATTTTCCATTAAGAAAAAAAAACTTTGTTTTTTTTTTTAAAGGCCTTAAGTGGGAGACAAAGGAGAATTCATTCCTCAAAGTTATTGTTGATTTGAATGGGTATGGGAGGTAGAGTGAGATATATTAGTGTTAACTAAGATATGGTCAGGAGTCCTGGTGTGGCACTGTGGGTTAATGTGCCAGACTGCAAATCCATTTGAACTGTGGTTCAAGCTTACCAGCAGCTCCTCAAAAACCCTATACAGGGTCACTATGGGTTGGAACTGACTCGATGGCACTTAACAAGAACAAGATATGGATATATATATATGGATATATATGTGTGTGTGTATATATATATATGTGTGTGTATATATAGTTGTTAGTGCCATTGAGTCTGTTCCAACTCATAGTGACCCTGTAGAGGGTTTTCAAAGCTTTAAATCTTTGTGAGAGCAGAAAATCTCATCTTTCTCCTAAAGAGTGGCTGGCAGGCTTGAACCATGGGCCTTGTGGTTTGCAGTGCAGTGCTTATTATATGGAGCCACCATATATACATTTACACACACACATATACAGTTTTGTGGTGGTTGTGAGCCATGGAGTTGGTTCAACTTACAGCGACCCTATACAGGGTTTCTGAGGCTGTAAATCTTTACGGGAGCAGAAAGCCTCATCTTTCTCTCATGGAAACAGGTAGTTTTGAACTGCTGACCATGAGGTTAGCAGCCCAACTTGTAACCACTATGTGTGTGTGTGTGTGTATATATGTATATACATATTCCACAAATAATAAGAGTTTGTAACAGGATATTTGTACCTTTCATTCAAATACAACTATGAATGTGTTGGCGTATACAGAGGACAAAATGATGAGAACTTCCTAGATATTATTAAACGTCTTAAGACAATGAATTGCTGGGCCTGGGGGCTCAGGGCCATAGTCTCAAGGGACACCATGGTCAACTGGCATAACATAGTCCACAAAGACAACGTTCTACATCCTACTCTGGTGAGTAGCATCTGGGATCCTAAAAGCTCATGAGTGGCTGTCTAAGGTGCAGCTATTGGTCTCTCCATGTGTGGAAGAAAGAAGAGTGATGGGAATTAAAGAGTCTCGGAATCAATTAGTTCAATAGTTTCCACAACTTTGAGAGCAGAAGAACCAGACAGTGCCAGCTACCACTACAAACTGCTCTGAAAGTGATCGCATTTGGAAGTTCTCAGATAGAGTGAAAGAAAATGTGGAACAAAACTCAAAATTATTTAAAAAAAACCCACAAATGACTAGGCTTCACAAAGAGACTGGAGGAACCTGAGACTATGACCCTCAACCACCCTTCAGGTCTGAAAAGGAACTCATCCTAATGGCATAACTTTTTAGCCAAGCAGCAGATAAGTATTTAGGGGGAAAACACCACCAGTAAGGTATGGTCACTATGGAACTGTCAATTATACCTAAACACAAAGCTGAGACGGGTTGGGAAAGTGGGTGGAATAGAAATAGGAACCACAGGGAGAAACTGGGTTAACTGTTGTTGCATGGAAGGGATTGCAATCATTGAGATGAAACAAAATGTATGATTTGTTGAATGTAAAAGAGATGATCTTGTCTGCAAACCTTCAGTCAATTCACAATGAAAAGTTAAAAAAAGAAATAAAAGGCTGACACTGTCTGTACCTTTAGACCTCGGAGAATTTGGTAGATAAGGAACTGTACATGGTCATCTGTAAGCTTCTGACATTTCACAATGTTGTTCAGATCTGCCCCCATGAGATGGGTCACCAGATACCTAGAAATTAATGAAGAATTAACACAATAATCCAGAATCCCAAAGAAAGTCACCTTCAAAAGACATAACAAAGGTTTTCAAGGAAAGGAAAGGTCATCCAGTAAGTACCACTGTATTAACTAAAAGTTTATAACTACTCACAGGGGAATCATTACCAGCATGCTACTTTAGCTTTACCATCTGCCATCTAGATACAATTTTTTTAATACTTGTTCCTACTTGCTGTATCTTTCCCCAGATTCTCTACAGAAAAAGAAAAGCGCAAAGATGGAGCAGAAAGATTTATATGCTAGCATCAATTTTCTCATAAGTTTTATTATTACATGAGAAATATACAGTTAACTAAGATATGGCTATAATAAAGTACTTTTTATTTTTAAATCCACCATTACATTTCCATCTCAATACAAACACTTCAAATTATATGTTTTAAAATAGGAGTATCTTTAAACATTCAAACTATAATTCTCCTTTCTCATGAATTGGTAAAAGGATACTATTACAGGATTGTATTCCTATATATTTAGCTTTGAAAAAGGAGAAACACATTGTATCTGTGGGCAAAATGAGGCATTCCAAAACTTCTCCCTATAGGTGTGGTGGTAGTTATTAATCCCATCTTTACGTGCTAAGATTAGGAAACAATTACATTCAAGTCCAACAGGTTCACCACAGATATTCTAGACACAATGCCTTAACCCATTCATTACTGGATTATACAGATATGGGAACATAAAAACCAGATTCATATTAAAAAGGTAAAGCTTTTTAAAAAAAGAATAGGTTTTATATATAAGAATTCTTCTTCATTACTGAGGTTGGATAATAATATAAGTTAGGTAGGTGATAAAGATATGTTAAGTGCTGTGGAGTTGATTCTGATTCACAGTGACCCCTATGTGTAGGATTTCTGAAGATTGACTGGTAGATTTGAACCACCGACCTTGTGGATGTTAGCAGTGCAGTGTGGCGCTATAGGATAAGCACTGGACTACTAATCTCAGTCAATGGTTCCAACCCACCAGTGGTTCCTTGGAAATCCTATACAGGGCTGCTCTGAGTAGGAACCATGGCACTTAGCAATAATATATATTATTGATTTATTGTATGTATTGGAGCCCTGGTGTGGCACTGTAGACAAGGTTGACGGTTCATACCTACTAGCTGCTCACTCTTTAGAAAGCCTACACAGGGTTGCTATGAGTCAGAACTGACTTGACAACACTGAAAACCAACAACATTAATGCATGATATGAATAAATATGTGGCCTCTCTTTGCACATACACAGACCCCACACACTTTATTTATTACTTTCTCTTCTCCAAAAGGAATTGCTTTTCTCTGTCATAATTTCCCTATTGGGTTGCCATGTTCAGTTCTTAATTTCACAAAGAACACTAGAATTTAGCTTAGTTGTAAGCTTGAGGCAAGATGTCTAGCATTTCATATTTTTTAAAACTTCCATATTTATACAGCCTTGAGGTAAGAGTGGACTCTAAATATAATTTAAGGTGTGGTGGTTATGTGCCGTGGAGTTGGTTCCGACTCATAGCGATCCCGTACAGGGTTTCTGAGGCTATAAATCTTTACGGGAGCAGAAAGCCTCATCTTTCTCCCACTGAACAGCTGGTAGTTTTGGGCTGCTGACCTTGTGGTTTGAAGTCCGATTTGTAACCACCACGCTACCAGAGCTCCTTAAAGTGTACATTAGAAACTCCCCAATCCACTACCATCGAGTTGAGTCCAATTCATAGTGATCCTACATAGACTTTCTAAGGCTGTAAATATTTATGGGAGCAGCAACCCTCATCATTCTCCCATAGGGCAGCTGGTGGGTTTGAACTGCCAACTTTGCAGTTAGCAGTCCAGTACTTAGCTTACATATGGTGCCATCAGGGCTCCTGTAAAATATAAATTTGACTTTGTGATTTGTTTGCATAAAGGTAGTTTTAAGATATGTTCTAAGCTCAATGCAACAGTCCCAAAAGCAGGCAGCACTCATTCTGAGCAGTTTATGATGTCCATATCACATGCTCTCTCTTCCTGACAAGCCTATGAGATAAGTCCCATTAGTGTCCCCATCTCACTGATGAGGACACTGAAACAGAATAAGAAGTAACTTGAAGGTCAAAAGTATGAGGAGTTGAATCTAGTACTGTCTGACACAAGAAATCAGGATCTTAATCACAGCATATATTGTTGTTGTTGTTGTTAAGTGCCATCGAGTCGATTCCAACCCATAGCAACCCTGTATAGGGTTTCCAAGGAGCAGCTGGTGAGCGTGAACCACTGACCTTACAGTTCAAACGACTTTGTAGTCTGATGCATTAGCCCACAGCGCCATACCAGGATATAATGCATATGTTTTGTTATATGCCGCGGAGTAGGTTCCGACTCATAGTGACCCCATACAGGGTTTCCGAGGCTGTAAATCTTTATGGGAGCAGAAAGCCTCATCTTTCTCCCACGGAACAGCTGGTGGTTTCGAACTGCTGATTTTGCAGTCAGCAGCCTGGTTCATAACCACTATGCTACCAGAGCTCCAAATTCTTTCAGTTGACACAGAATTTAAGCTAAAAGAATACCCTTTATTTAAAAAAAGATTTATAATGTCATAACCATTTGGTGTTCTTGTTAAGTGCCATTGAGTGGGTTCTGATCAATAGTGACCCTGTATAGGGTTTCTGAGGAACAGCTGGTGAGCTTGAATCACCGACCTTGCAGTTCAAATGGCTTTGCAGTCTGATGCATTAGCCCACAGCACCACACCAGGACTTCATAATCATTAGTGAAGAATTATCTCCAAAGAATTTCCTGACGAACATTCAATACTTACTATCAAAGTTAATTTTTAGCTAACAGAGACAGAAATCTTGCAAGGACATAGCAATATCCCATCCTATTTACCATCACTATATATATATTACCATCACTTTATATCACTACATGTATATACACAGAGATCACATATGTTCCTGGTGTGGCACTACAGGATGAATATATATATGCAGTGTTTTGGTCTGCTGTGCGTAGGGTCACTATGGGTCGGTGCTGACTGAATGGCACCTAACAACTACACATATACATACATGTTGTTGTTAAGTACCGTGGAGTCGGTTCCAACTCATAGTGACCCTGCACAGAGTTTCCGAGGTTATAAATCTTTACGGGAGCAGAACGCCTCATCTTTCTCCTGCAGAACCACTGGTAGTTTCGATCTGCTGACCTTGAGGTTAGCAGCCTGATTCATAACCACTACCAGAGCTCTCTCTCTATATATATATACACACACACACACACACACACACACACATGCATACACATATCTGCATAATGTCGTTGTTGAGTGCTGTCAAGATGATTCCTACTCATAGTGACCCTGTAAAGGGTTTCTGAGGAACAGTTGGTGGGTTTGAACTGCTGACCTTGTGGTTCGAAATTCAGTGCTTATCCTACAGCACCATACCAGGACACATAATCTGACAACTATGAGAAGAATGTTCTGACTAACTTGAAATCAGGACTGCCCTAGAAAATCTGGGATAACAGTTGCCATATCTATAGTATCAATTCCAGAAAACTGTGCCTGGAGAGAGAATATTGCATGTGTACTACTCTTCTTAAAGCCCCCTTCCATCAGAGATCATATCCAATTTTATTGCTAAAATTTCCAGAGTGAGAGTAAGAGTATAACAATATTGCCTAAGTATATGAAATGAAACTGTTGCGTCAGCCTATAAAGTAGTCACTATTAAGTATTACTCCTGATCGGCTACAATAGAGTGGCTGAAAGCATTGTTAATGTCTTAAAGGAAGGAACCTAATCATTGTATCTTATTTTCATGATGTCCAAAGACTAATATACAACCACAGTGTCAAATTCTACCTTACTGCATGTAGGAAGCTTTTCAAAATAAATCTTGTAGCAATGGACCAAAGCAAGCATCGTGCAGTTACTGACTTTTTATGGAACACGTTGTTGTTAAGTGTCGTCAAGCCAGGTCTGACTCAGCAACCCTTATAGGATTTCCAAGGAACAGCTAGTGGGTTTGAACCGCTGACCTTGTGGTTAGCAGTCTGGTGCTTATCCTACAGCACCATAACAAGACTCCTATGGAACACATACTAACTTTCAAAACAGTGAGCAAAGGGGGTGTGTGTAGAAGGTGGGGGTTGCTGGAGCACATTTTAAGTATGTCAATTTCAAAAGGGGAGAGTCACAATTTCTGTAGCATTTATCTTTGGAAAAGTATATTTAATTACATTTTAATACAGACATGTCTAATATTGCCAACGTTTATAACAACTCAAATTAGTTAATGAAAGTTTGACTTGAGAACAGCTGGAAAACCTGAGTCCTCCCATCCTTAAAAGGACTTAAGAAGAAAGTAGGACTCCATTAAGCTAGAGGCTTAAAAGATGATTTCATGGCCTGATACAAATCTTGGCTTTTACATATTTTTTGTGAGAATGGTCTCATTGAAATTGTATTAAATTATAAAGACTATCAACAGCTCTCAAAGCAATTATTGTAAGTAAAATGGCCTGTACCAGCACAAAGACTGAATTCTATAGTTAGTGGTTTTAGTACCTTATTTAGGCAGCACCCATTCTACAGCTTCATTTATGAAACACTTCTTGGATAATACCCAATTGTCAAGTTGTCCAGAGTTAAAGAAAAAAAAAAAAAATTTTTTTTTCAGTGAATTATAAAAGCCCTACATAATCCAGTACCCTGTCCCCAGTTAGCTCTTAGACCCCATCATCTACATCTCTCCCCAATTCTCATTCGGCTCCATACTGGCCCTCTTACTGCCCCCATCCACACAGGACTCATTTTGCTAAAATTCAACTTCTCAATGAGGCCTATCCTTACCACTTCTTTTAAAATTGCATCTTAACATCTGCCCTCATACTCCTAATTCCCCTTACCTGCTCTATTATTTCTGTGTTTATATAGTATTCTATACAGACTCCTGCTAATAGCAGGAGTCCTGGT